CATTTTCAGGTTTCTCAAATGTTGCTATCAGATTAATTCGATCTGAAAAGAAAGTTATGTTACAAGAGAGAAGGATATTGAAATATTTGAATTATTCGTTATAAACTTGAAATTTGTTTTATTTACTCCATCTTTATACTGACTAAATTAAAATTTCAAGTTTAAACCTTTAATTTACTTTAATTTCGTTATCATAATTTTTTAGCATTAAATAAATCATAAATAATATTTTTTTGAGTTCATTTTTAGATTTCGATTGAACGCAGACTGCACAATCATTTATGAAAGCATTCATATTTCATTTTGAAAACATATATTTATCTTGCAAAATCCCACTCATTTGTTAGTTATAAGGAAGAAATTGAAAGGAAGAAAAATCGAGCAAAATAAGGAATAGCAAAAAATAATTAGTAAGAAAACAGATAGTAAAATAAAAGAATGGAGACGAGAAATGCGAAACTGATAAATTTCATTTATCAGATAATTACTTATTTTTTTTTCCTCACTTTTCAATTAAAAGATTCATTTAGTGCAGATTTATAATTTTTGCTTTCCTTTTCTATTATTTTTTTATTTTTTAGTTTTGCTAGTATTTTCAGTTTTAGTGCAACAAATTTCTCACTATATTTTATTAAGTATAAACATTATTGTATTGGTACAGAAAGTAAATGAAAGAAATAATAATAGATTTTATTTTTCTTCTAAAACTTAACTTTTTTTTTGGCTAATTATTTTCTTTTTTTTCAAATTTTTTTATTTCATTTTTTAACTCTCAAAAGAGCAAATTTTTTAATTCTACAAATTATTTATTTCAAAACATTGGGTTAATAATTTATTTCTGTTTTCGACTCAACCTTTCATTCAAAATTTTGGTTTTTTTCCCCTTTTTTTCATTTCCTCCGCTTTCTACTGCTTTCTCAACTAATTTTTATTAGCAAAATTAATCTCTCCTGTGACTCAGTAAAATTCGGAAAAAAAAACTGAAATGTGATAATTTTCTTTTTTAGTTTTCCTCCCTAAAACTTTTAGAGAAAAGGAGAGAAAGAAAAAAGAAAAGTTTTTGCTTATTAAAAAAAATGTCAATTTCAACTAAATGTATTTTTTCACAATTTTTTATTTCTTTCTACCTCCTCTTCTCTCCCCCCTCCAAAAAAAAAAAATAAATAAATAAATAAATAATGCTATATTAACTGCAAGGGATATTTTGAAAAATCGATAATTTATTGTGTTAATAAATTTAAAAAAATGTTAAAAAAGTGAATAGAAAAATCAGATTTTTAATATCTACGAATTAAATTTGATTCGAAAAAAAAAACCTTTATTATCTTAAAAAGAACTTTAGGAAACTAATTCGATTTTGGTAGCTCAAAATAATTATTAACTACAAAACTGATGCAATATGTTAATGAATTATTGCATTATGTGTATCACTTGTCAATTACAGCAGACTAGTCTAATTTTTATATCTTTTCTCATTATTGCTGACATAAACAATTTCATCCCTTCTTTTTACTTTTTTGAAACCACAAAATTTGAATTTCATCTGTAACAATCATTATTATAATCTTTTTCTTCATAGAACTAAAAAAATTAGAAACAATGTTGTCGTATCAAATGTAAGTTTAATTATAATTTAATAACTACTCAAAATAATGATCACAATAAATCATTAATAGTAATGTATGATTTAATAGAATGTATCCTTCATTAAATTTTACATTGACATCAATCTATTCCTTGGTTAAATTGATTTGTTAGTGATAAAATTTGGCTATTTTATAAAAAATAAAATTATTTCAAAAGTCTTATTTTTATTATCTTTCAGTTATTTTCATGCATCATTTTCTTTACTGTCTTTCTATATTTTTATTTAAAAAAACTAGATTTGTGATTTACATATTAGTAATTATTTTTTAATTAAATTTACTTCTTTCTCTATTAATTTGTCTTTTTCTCTTATTTTTTGTACAAACTAAAACTTTTCTAGTAATATTTGATTGTTCAGTAAATACTTAATTATTCGAAAATTTATTTTTATCAAAAAAAAAAAAATACAATTAATTTGAGTTCGTTACAATTAATTCGTCTGTTTGTGTATGCATGCATATATATGTATATGTCTGTAGGTGTTTGTTGATAGTAAATAGGAATTTTTTGATAATAGCTATTAATAATAAATAGTAATATTTCCATTCAGATTATTTAAATAAAAATTGAGTAGGAAGCAAAAATTATTAGTAATTAGAAATCAATTTAATCTATGTATTAAAAGGAAGGAAAGCATAAACGTTGTTCAGCATAATCGATTAATCATCATACGATTGCTTTAAACCGAATATAATTTAACGTTTTACTAATTTAACGCTAAACACTTGCCAATACTAACTCGCAAATCCGAAAAAATTTTAAATTATATATATAATTAGTGGTAATGGTAAAAAATTTCAATTTGAATACAATCTGTGCCATTTGAATGAGTCTCATTGCAGTAAAATTGTTATGTTTACTGACATCGATGAAAACTGGGTGTTTATTAGTAGCAAATGGTTAATATATTTGTGTATGTTAATGTGCACAAGTGATAGAGGATATTTTAAAAATTCCCAAAGATTTTCAGTTAAATATTTTATTATTTCTCATTAAATATGCACGAAGATTTCAATCTTAATTAGCAAATTTAACAAGATTAGATGTTATTATCCACTTTTCTTTAACTCCTTTTCAATAAACGACATGGACTTTTGTAGATTTTTCATGCAACAAAATTAGTTGATGACATTGTTTGGAATAATTCTAGTCAATGTTTTCTTTAGCTATTTAAAAAAAAAAAAAAAAATCATTTGCTATGAACGATCTTTTTTAATTCTTCGCTTGGAAATATTTGAAAACCTAGCTATATGCAGTTTTAAAATACGAAATTTTGGTAAATTTTTTTCTAAAAAGATATCTATATCGTTTTTCTTTCTTTTTAATAACTAACTAAACATTAGGCTAGATAAATTAAAATATCGTCTAACTAGTTTTATTTTAGATATAATTCTAATATTTAAAACTTATGTCTTATTAGCTGTGATAAAATTTTTTGCTTAGTGAACAATAAGTTAGATTTGGAAATGACTTTGTGATTATCTAGCAGTAATAATTCAATTTATTTTTCAAGTTTCAAAAATTATTATCCCTTTTTTTTGTGGCAACTTTCTTAAATATCATGCTACAGTACTCTCTGCACTACAATATTCCTAGCTACAGTATACCTTGTGCTACGACATTAGTTGCGACATCACAAAGTCAGTCACATTTATTGTATTGCTGCTTCAATAAGCTATCATTACAGTTAAAATAAAAGCTAACAAAAAAGAAGCAAAAGAAAAATATGGTAATTGTGTAAAATTAAATATTCGCAGAAAGATTAAAGAAAACAAGAATTGTTGATAAGATGATATTTTCAAGCAATTAACCAAATTTTTGAAACATTTAACTGTTTTATTATTGTATCAGTTGTAAAGAAATATTTTTCATCACAAACAACATTTCGTTAACTTAAAATTTAATCTTAAAAGGATTAACAATTGCTAAATAAGTAATGAATATGTGTTTAATTAATTGCCCACTAATTAGTGCCATTTTTCCTTTTAACTTATTGCTCTATTGGTCTTTTCTTTTTTTAGATGTTTGGCTATTCTCATTTTCTAACATATTTATATTTATTCCTGTAAAATATTTTATGTTTTTACTTAATACAATGTTTCACTTCAAGTATTTAGAATATTTTTTAAATCAAAGAAAAAAACTTTCGCTCTTAACTTTTTTATTTTATGAATTCTTTCATGAGAATTACTTTGATTCATATTAATTAATTTGAATCAAAACACAATTATTATCAAATTCATCCATTTTTTCAAATTAATCTAATTTAAGCAATATGAAATTGACTGGAAGCAAATTTTTTTTGTTAGAATTTGCGAAAATTAATATGAAATCAAAATTTCGCGCCATTCATATATCTTTTCATAGTTATGAAAATTTGAAATTTAAATTAAAAATCACTAAAGTAGCAAAGATTTTAATGAAATTTTTTTTTGACAGAATGATGAAAAAAAAAATTAAAAGATATCATGGATTAATAGCACGATGATTTAAATATTAATGGAAAAACATGAATTGATCAGATTCCGTTCAAAAAATTATTCCACAAAATTTGGATTTTAAAAGAAAAAAGAACAAAACACAAAAATCATTTCGAACATTTCAAAAATTCATTTTAAATTAATCGATTGATTTGAATTAATAAAATTCAAATGAATTTTTTGTTTAAAAAAAATATTGTGTCATTTTTTTTTAAGATAAAAATAATTGTGACAGATATAATCGAAACAAAAACATTTTTATTTGAGATGCTTCTGAGAATGACTTCAGGAAAAAAATAACAAATTTAATTTCAGATAAAAGCTACTTTTATTACTTTCACATAATGGAAAAAAAGCAAAAATAAATGAAATTTTTTCATTTGCTGAAAGTTTACTTTTACATCATTAAAAAAATCATTAAAAGAACGTTATTTTTTTGATTTGTTAAGAAAAGATCACCTTATTTCGTTATTTAAATTAAATTGAAATTTTGCAAGTAGTTGTTTGCACATAAAAATTTATGATAAAAAAGAAATGATTATTAACAAAATGCAAATTAGCATACAATCATTTATTTCGCACTTCTTTGATTGAAATTTACATTTTTTTTTTTTTTTTTTGCATATAATAAAATTTGAAATAGAAATGTAAATATTATTTTGAACACTACATTAGAAAAATGTAATTGAGAAATCTAATTAATTAGTTAGTCGATGTAGGAAAGCCTAAAAATTTAATCATTATTTCGACGTCTCACTCCAATTCATTTTTATTTTCCTCATTATTGTTCTTCTTTTTTCTTTTTCGAGGTAAACGTTATTATTTCCGGAATTACTACAAATATTGAAAACTTTTCAGATAATTTATATCTGAATGAATACATCACTGCCAACATCAAATGCTACAATAGCTAAAAATGATTGCTTTCATTTATCCATTGCTGAACGTCGACTACGAAATCGTAGCTTATCAAGCTTACTCTGGACACCACCACTCTATCCGGGTTATTCAGCAAAACTTGACAAATCTTTCAAATCTAACTTTTGTCAGCAATCAGTGTGGAAATCTACAGCATCCGAAATAGCAACATCATCAAATCTGCTACCATCTAATCCTGTAACCAATATAAATTGTTATCCTTCTTCAATTCAAAATGTCATCGAAGCACCATACCCATTTAAGGTAAATTAAATGATAATGATATCATATCAAACGATAATACAATTTATCAGTAAACAAATTATTTCTCTAATTATCTTATTACATTTAAGTTTCCTCTACTTGAAAATATTATTTACACTTTTTTTTTTTTTTTGAAAGTTTAGAGGTTTTAACGTTAATTAAGCATTAATTAAAGAAAATTCTACGTTGCATTGTTGGATAAATGATAAAAAAGGAAAGAAAAGAGGAAAAGATTTTTTTTTGTATCATAAATTTTAGCATCCATCACAACAACAGCCGGTAGAAAATGAGGATATAAGCTGGAACAGTTCGAAGCAATATACAAATTCGAAGGAATCATCCGGTTATGGTTCCGGAACATCTGAGTCAGATCTGGAAAATGAACAACAATCGAAAAAGGTTATTTGTTTTTTAATGTATATGACAGGCAAACATTTCACCATTTGTAGGCATTAAGTTAGAATAAAAAAAACAGCATCAAGTTGAAATAAAATAAAATTTAATTTAACAGGCTGTTTCATTTTAATTTAATTTAAAAAATTATACTGTATCCATCAGTTGAAATGTAACAAATTGATATTTATTTCGACATTTTAATAATCAATAGAAATCATTATTATAAGATATTAAAATGAAAAGATTTGAATTTTAAATTTTAGCTCATATAATAATAGCAAGATGATAAGGATAATAATAATTATAGTATATAATAATATAATAAAAGTAGAATGAATTGAATGAGCTAAAATTTTTGATTTAAATCCATTCAATCAAAAATTTAATCTAATATTTGAATTACTTATTCAAATATAAACCTGTTTTATTAATCATTTCTGTCACATGGGATATATTAAATGCAATCATTTATAACATATAAATGCATGAATGTAATTTAAATTCGATCCTTTTTTGCTTGTTTCTAATTCATTCATAAATTATTTCTCTATTTTGTCATTTTTTTCACCGTTTTTTAAAAATTTTTCTAGAAAAGTTTTTAAAAAAAATATTTGTTAGTAATTTAGAAAAAAAAAATTGAAGAAATAGAAAAAGTTTTTTATTTCACCAATAATTTGGAAAAAACAATTCGAGTTTTATAAAAATTCTTCTGTTCATCTACTGCAAAATAGTATCATAGATTAAAATTATGATAAGATAATTTTAAAAAACATTAAATTAAGATAAGTATTATTTTATTATTATTATATTACTATTTTTCATTGTTATTATTTTGCCGTTTCAGATTTTACAAACAATAACCGTCTCTTCTAAAACAATTAATAACAATCACTCTTTTACGAATACAACAATGAGTGATAATTACAGTGATATTTTTAAACAACAGAAAGTTGAATTTGCTGCTGAACGTGCAACAACACGTACGCCAATAAGGCAACAACGTAATCGTCAGCATACGGTTTTTTTTTTCCCAATTTTCTCTTTTTTTGTTCCTAATGATAGCTACTGATAAAGTTCTGAATGCAAAGTTATTCAATCATTTAAAATTGCTTCATTTTTTTTTTTTGTTTAAGTTTTACTAAAGTTTAATTAGTAGTTTTTTTTTTTTGATCTTTCATATATTATTCATAATGAATTATTTATTCATTTCAAGAATATCTTTTTAATGTAATCTTTTATAAATAATATAAACGAATAAAACAATTATGTTTAAAGTATCGTCATATCATTCTTCCAAGGAAGACCAAATTAATTTAATTTAGACTTCCTTGCAAAAAAAAATTTTTTTTTCACTAAATTTTATACTAAATTTAGATTTAATTACATCATTCCCTCATTAATTTTGTTTAATCCAGTGCTGAATGTGATATGATTACAAATGCTAAATAACAAAAATGATAGAATGGTTGATATAATTGATAATCAAAAACAAAGAATGGAAAAAAGATATCATTATCATGAATTTCTTTAGTTGGAAAAGAATAGAAGACGAAGTGTTCCTGCTAATCTTCGTAATGCTTTTACAGGTTAATTTCATCGGAATCATTTTTTAATTTGTTTAAAAAATCCAAATTAGCTATCAGCATCGTCCGGTTTAACAAGTTTTTAAAATAATTCTACAAATATTACCAAACATTTTGCGCAATAATCCATTTGCGCTGTTACAAATCAAATTTTATTACATATCAAAAATAAGCCTTTCCGCATCTACTGGAATTTTTTAATTCTCATAATGCGTAATTTTTGCAATTAAATACAGTTAAAATAAATAATTTAGTACAAGTTTTTGTTTTTCTACAAAAAAAATATGACTTCTTTAACTAAATAAAAAAAAAAATTTAATTTATTTTTACTTTCTTTTTCAGATGAAATAGTGCGCGTACTGGAAATTAACGGTGTATTTCAGTATGAAACAGATGCAGTAAGTATTATTATTTATTATTATTATTATTATTATTAATTTTTACTATTATTATTATAGAAATATTTATTGAATATTTGCTAATTAAGTTTATGAACAGAAAAAAATTTTAAATCAATAAATTATATTTTAGTTAACAATCCGACATTTTTATGCAATTGTGTAATTTTAAAAATAAATTATATGCTAATATTCACATTTTGAGCCCTTTTTTAAAATTTCATTATAGCATATTTAAATGATAAAATGCAAAATTGTTTGCAAAGAGAGCTGTTCATTTAAAAAAAATTCAAAATAGAATTCAAAATATTGAAATATTCAAAATAGAAGTAAAAAGCAACAAACGATAGCGTAACTTTACATGGAACATGTAATAAATAAACCCAATTTAAGTTAAAATTGGATTAGTCAAAAAAAAATTAATTTCTTTTGTTACGATAACATTCATTGAATCAAAATTTGAATTTATTTTTTCATTTCTTTCTAAAGTCTTTTTCCCTTTTTAATTTAAAATTATTGTATCATTTTAGAGGATTTCATTTGCTTTGTGTAATAATTTATAAAATTTTGATCATTTATATTTGATTTCATGAAAAATAACTGATATATCAATTATATGAAAGTGATAAGCACACAAAAAGTTTTAATCTTTTAGTAATGGAATTAATTTGGTTAGAATTAGGTCACACTTTCAAATAATAACTTTTTAATGATCATTTTCAAGTAGGCTGTTTAGAATAAATCTTATTCAAGTAGTTTACTTATTCAGTGGTCAAATTTCATATTAATTTACTAATTTTTATACTAATTTACAATTTCATATTATTCCACCAAGTTAAATTGAAATTTCTAATATTAGTAAAAATTATTTTCGTTTGTTCCTTATAGAATCTGTTAATAAAATGGAATTGCAATTTACCATCTTGAAAAGAATTATTTCCGTTGATTAAATTTAACCTCCAAATAATTTGCTAAATATTTCCAAGGCAAAAGAATGTTAAACGAATTAAGTAAATAATTCATTAAATATACAAGAAAAAATTAAGACGAATCAATAAAATTACTAATTAAATTTTTGTAAAATAAAATTTTTTCAGTTGTACTAATGAAAATTTTATTTCATCCCTTGAAAGGTTTTTCTTTTTTCCTAAAATGTTTTTATTCTTTCTTCGTCTCATTCTACTTAAATTTTAATTTCCTTTTTCATCTTAATTTAGACTAAATTATTCAGCAAAAGAGGATAGCATGCAATCGTTGTCATAAATGTTAAATTACTGATACAAATTGAAGTGGAAAGTTCTTTTTTTTTCTCGCATGCATTAATAAAATGCCAATTAACAGCGATAGTTAATTGCTTTTTCTGCTTCATTCTTCCATTTTTCTTCTTCTTTTAAAATTTTTCATTCTTTTATTATTACGAAACAAAAATTTTTACTAATAAATTTATTTTCATATTAATTTTATTGTTTTTTTTTTTTTTGACTAAACAATGCTAAATTATGTAAATATAATTTTTCCGTCCTTTTTATTTTTTTGTAATTCTTAGTTGTTTTTTTTATAGAATTGCTTTAACAATTTTCGAAATAACTTTTTATAACCATTTAATAATCGTATCTATCATCCTTTTCTTTTTTTTAAAGTTTTATGTAATTTTTAATTTAAAATAAAATTTTCTTTCCAAAATTTTCTCATTTTTTACAGTTTGAATATTATTATTGTAGACAACAGATTGAATTTTTTTGAAATAGTTTTGAATTTATTTGTTTTGAAAATCACACAATATCTGTCATTCTTTTTCTTTTATTTTTTCAAAATTTAATAACATTTAAATTTTGAAAAAAATTTTTTCTTTCTAAAGTTATTTATATTTTGAGTACGTTATTAATTATTATTATTATTATTATTATTATTATTATTTGGAACTCTCATAATTTTTTGAATTTACGGTAATTATAGCAGATTGCGTTATTAACAAATAAAATGATAAAATATTATTAGAAAAGTTTTTATATAATCGACAAATACAGCATTGCAGATTTTGATATCGTATAATATATTCCAAAATATTCTTTTTTCTCCTCGTTTTTTTTTTTGCATAAAATCATTTTATTTTATTAAACTAAAAGTTGTTATCAATAAAACTATTTTAGAGTGTTTTATGATTGTTAATTATTATCAGTGTTATTGATATGCCAATTGTAGCTGATTCTTTCTGATCAAGTTATTTCTTATCATAGTACTTAAATACCTGAATATAATTAATTAATTAATTAATTTTCCACTCGGATTTTATGGTCATCTCTTTCGAAATGAAAAAATAAAAAGATATTCATATCTTTGCTTTATATCAAAAAATTCGCAAATTTGATAAATTTAATATTTTACAATCATTTTTGCTGATGCATACAAGATAATGTGAAGTGATTTAAAAAAATAATTGAGAGATTGAATGAAGTGGAAGATGAGAGTATTATGTGATTTTAAAGACGAAAACTTGTCCCATTCTTGATCAAAATTTAAAAACTTGTTTTTAAATTTTGATTATAATTTCCTGTACATCAGTATACACACACATACATACATACGGCAAGAAATTTTTTTCCTTTAATTAAAACTTATACAAATTATACTCGGATGATTTTATTCAAAAAAAAAATTTTATTAATTGGCTGTTGGTTAAACTTTCAGCCAGTGACTGACTTTGTTTTTGTTTTTTAATGAAATTCAAAAATTATATACTGAAATAATTTGAATTTTGTCATTTTTTTTGCTTCATTCTTCCTTTCAATTCTTACATTCATTGATGATGAAAGTATTTAATATATTAATTTATAAAGAAATTAAAAGTTTTAAAATTTTTTTCTAAAAAAATATAAAAAATTTATTAACAAAGAAATTGAAGAAACTTTCTTAATTTTCACAATACTGAAAAAAATAATTTATTGACACAATTTTGAATTGAAACATTAGCATCTTCTGATGGCTAATAATTTTGCTAAGATTAATTTAGAATTCAAATTCAGATTTGAATAGAACATGAGCAATATGATATCAAATATTTGCTTATTCACAAAGCAAAAATAATAGCTGGTAGTATTTGCCAAAATAAATTTCTGTTTTCCAAAATTATCAATAAAATTTATGGTTTACTAAGAAATTATCACTAAGCAAACGTGCTTATCAATTTATTCATCATTTTTATAACAATAATTGTATTACCTAATGTGATTACAAACTCTCAGAGAGCATAGCTCAGTCCAAACCTACTTCATTACTATATTAACAAATTAACTCCGTAAGAACTTCTTAAATAATTTAAAAGCATAGCGAATTGAATTGTCAAAAAATCTGTCAACATAAAAAATGAAAAACAAATATTCTTCTATCAGAGATTGAAATACATCGAAGCAACTATCGTTATCATCCAGTAATTTCAAGAGAATACATTCAATCGATTGATCATTGATCAAATCATTACAATAATGCAAATTATAACTTATCAAAAGACAAAATGATAAAGTTACAGTTTATATTTTTTAAACAAACGTACGCGCTTCAAAACTTTAATTTTCACTTAAATTTTTAAGGATTTCACTGCTGCAGTACTGATCATAAATTTTTATCATTTACGCCTGAACAATCGTTTTTATTTTTCTTTTTTCGAAAATAGTCGCTTAAAAAAAATTGCCATTTAAATTGTTTTCTTTTTTTTAAAACACATTACGTCTTCAACAGAAAATGAAAAATGATGAATGCATGAGAAGCGGCAAAGAAGAGAAAAACTTGAATTATTATTTTCAAATTTAAATTTTGATTTCAATTTAATGCGAAAAAGTTCTTTATAATTATATTTATGCTATTAATTAGTCATTCCATTTCATTTATTCATTAGCACCTTTTTTTCTTTTTTGCTTCTTAATTCGCTTTTTATAAAACTTTTCAATCAATTCAAAACTAATTGATAATATTTTTGATAAATAAAATGTAAAATTTCACAAATTTCGTACAAAAATTTAAAAAATTATTGTAAGCGATAAGTTGGAAAAAAATTTATTATGCAAGAATTTTGAATACGTACAATGATATATTATTATCACTTTTGTAAGTTAAATTTTTGCATTCAATTTCATGGAAATGTTCATGAAAATCGTCCATTAAGAAGTATGTATGATAATTTTTTGCTTTAAAATTGATAGCTTTAAATGGGCTTCAAATAAAACTTGAAATAAAATTGATAATTGTCTACTGGATAATTTTAATCCTAATTCTTACATCAAAAATCATAAGAAATATATCTTACATCAAAATTTTTGTATTTTTTAAATGTGTTATTGAAATGTAATGAATAATAATTAAATTTTTTTTAGTAATATAAATTAATTTTAGTATTTGTACCCTATTATTAATAATTTATTATTTGCTATCAATGATATAGCATAATGTTGGAGATTGAGCAAAATTGTTTATTATTTTCGTTTATAAAACTTCTAATTAGAAATTCTTTTTAATAAACATTTGTTATAATTTTTTTTGTTTCTTAGAATGGCAATATTTTTTTCAACAGTTTGTTATTGTTTGTTTATTAAATTCAAAATTCATTAATCTTTTTTTTGAAAACATCTGAAAACAATTATGATTCTTTTCTTTGATAATTTGGTTAAATCTATCAGAGGAAGTTGAAATAATTATTAAAATTTCAATCAGATTTTTGTTTTTGATTTCAATAACTTCAAAACATTTTCATTCCTCTATCGATGAAATTTAATTGTTGATTAAGAACATTATTTTTATCAATTTAAAATAAAATCATTCATTGCATTGCAACTTTACTTCGTACTTCACTAAATTGAATTATGATTTTATCATTTCATTACACTTGCAAACATAAAGTTTGCTTTTTATTTTATAAATATTTGCTGAATGGTAGAAAGGAAGAGGAAAGGAAAGTATAAATTTAATGAATGATTTTAAAAATTGAAAATTTAAATGATCTAATCCTTGACCTTTATTTTGATCAACTTTTCTTCGCAAATTCTGCCTGACTTTTTCTTCCATCATTTATTATTCAATTCAAAGATGTACAGTGTTATTTACTGCTTTTTAATTTCTTTAGAATTTGAAACTTTAATTAGATGAACGATTTTAGTTATCGTTTTGATCTCATTCATAGAGCAATATTTCATGCTTCTCTGATTTAACTTTCAATAAGTGAAATTTATTATTTTCCAAAATATTTTAAATTTGACTTCTTCCTTTTTTCATTGATAATTTGTAAATCATTTTTATTAACTACTGAATCAAATTCTTAAGTAATCGCATATCGAATAATTTAATATAAATTTATTAAAATTTAAAATTACAGTATGGAAAAAATATATTGATATCATCCAACATAAAAATTATAATTTCCACTCAGTTTCATCATCAGTAATTTTAAAAATAATTTTCTATCAGTTTTTATTTTCATTTTTTGCAATGGCTTAGAGATAAAATTAAAATTGTATCGATGATAAAATTGTATTATTATTACTACTGTCATTATTATTATTAGTATTTTTTTTGTAGTGAAAAAAGGAAAAGATATGAAGTTTACTGAATATTTTATTTACTGATATTTAATTATGTATTATTATAAACCGGTTTTTCGATTCTATCATCAGTACCAAATTAGTTTTATTTATTTCCATCCATCAAAAGAGTTTCATCGATGCAAAGAATAAATGAGTGAGAAATCCATTCTCTTTTTTAAATCAGTCCTTCAGTTTTTTTTCCAAGCAATTTAATCTCTTTGAACATCAATTAGAAATAAAATAGCGGTAAAAAATAAATAATTTTGAAAGAAGAAAATTTCAATAATATCATATGCACTAATTTTTTGAAAAAATGAATTGCCAAATTAATTATAAATTATTCTGCTAAATAGGAAAGAAATTAAATACATTTTGAAAAGAATGACTAGCAGTCTAATTATAAGATCAATTTATGATACCTTTTTTCTATCAAATGAAGGGAAGGAATTTAAGTATCAATGAGCAATAATAATTTTTTCTTGCCGGGAATTTAGCTTTGACAATTTCATGAATTTAAAAATTTTCATATTACTTCCAAAATGCTAGCAAAAATGAAGCGATTTATTGTGATGCATTATCATATATTTCCATTTCAAATATTTGATTTTCTCGAAATAAAAAGTTGAATAAATGAGAAAAAAGTAAATAAATTATAAATATACACGTAAACAAAACTTTGTATTTAAAATTTTGAAGAAGCAAGAAAAAGGAGAAATGGCAATAATTAGAAGTAAATAAATTAAAGGGAAGAAAAGAAAAAAGAAAATTATGTCAATTGTCAAAAAATTTTTCTTGCAAAAATAAAAAAAGTCAAATTGTATTTTTGTAAAATAAAAAAATAAAAGAAAAATATTTTTGAAAGTAATAATCAGTTTTTTAAAAAAAAAATATATATATGTATAATAAAATTTATTTAAGCATATGAAAGTTGAAGATGAAATTCATATACATACGTATATAATAAAATTTAGTTATTCGAAATTGTTTTCTTAATATATATTCATTGACAGTATTATTTAATTAGACCTAAAATAAAATAAACTAATTAAAAAAAGTTTCTTCTTAACTTTTATTATATTTTTTGGTTAAATTAAAAAATTTTGTACTAATTATTGTATTAACGGAATAACAGGACAGTAATACAGCATCATTTGTCATTTGTCATTTATTATTTTATTATATTGAAAATTATATTATATTAATTTCATTATGTTAATTATTATATCAAACATTTATATTAAGTTTCTGTTAATTTTCCAAATCAAATTTTTTTATATCTGAAAGACAAAATGAACGTTTGTTTAGGTGAAAAATTTGTCGTTTCAAAGTTTTTGTAAATTTGTTTTTTAAAATAGTTTTTGCTTAATTAGAACTAAAATAACTAACTAAAAAATTTTTTGAACTTTTACTATTTCTTCTAATAAAATTAAAGATTATCCATACATTTGCATCAAATTATTTGATTTGTTAAAATCAAAATGAATGTGACATACTTTTAAATAAAATCATAATGAATTTTTTTCTTCAAAATTTTTCTGAATAATTTAATTTTGTTTTGTCACTTCAGGATACCGGTATACGGCGACCAATAGTACGTGAACAAAGTATTAATCGACCGGAATCAGTTATTCAACTTGCACGAAAATTTGCTGAAGCAAGCGCTGCACAAGTAAGTCATTTTTTTCTTTTTTCTTTTTTTTTGTAAATTTTTGTGTTGGATGAAATTTTGTAGTTAATTGGTAAATTGGAACAAAAGCAGGAAAAGAGAAATAAAAAATAATTTCATTGCTATTGAAAAAAACAGTTTGTGTAATTTTTTCCTACCATTCAAAACTTTCTTTTGAAAAATAAAAAAAAAAAGTAAATTCAAATTACATTTTTTTTTCATTTACACATATTTTTAATTATTTAGTTTTGTAATGAAACAGAAATGAGTTTTTTTTTTCTTTTTTAATATTTCATAAAATGCTTATTTTTATTTTTTGAATCAAATTTTAAAATTCATTTTGATTGCTCTGAAGAAGAAAGAGAGAGGAGAGAAGGGAGTAGAGGGAAAGAGAAAGGAAGACAGAGAGTATTTAAATCTGAAATGAACATATCTATTATATTCCTTCATTGCAAAATATTAAGATGTGATAAAATTTGAATTCAACTTAAATTTTTTTTTCTTTTAAATAAACAGAAATGTTTAAAATACAAACTATACCTATCAACAGTATAATCTCATCATTTTTCCTCTCTCTCTCTCTCTCTCTATATATATATATATATATAAATGCAAAGCGAGAGAAAGGGAAAGAAGAAGAAGTAGAGAAAGAAAGACATTCTATTCAGATATTCTGAAATTAAACATTTCTCGAAAGAACAAAAGACGAGAAATAATTATTCCATATTTTTGTATTTTTTTCTTCACTCCGTCAATTAAGCAATAATACATTTGAAATTTCTGTTATTTTATTGAAAAAAGTTGGAAATTTTTAAATTTATTTTTATTTAATAAAAATAAATTATCGAAATTTTTATTCATTATGTTAACGAAATTTTCTTTATTCGATAACACTAACATAAAGCATTGCTCAGGCAAAATTTTATATATTTTTTTGCTAGTCTTTCCGTTTTTTTTTTTTTGTTGTTGTTGTTTTCTTTTTCTTTGTTTTCTTCTTTACTCATTTTGATAAATAAATGAATTATTGTTTAGTGATAAGATATTAAACTATTTCATGATTGCGGGTAAATTAATTGATGGCTGAAATTGAGAAATGCCCTTCACCTCAAATTTTGTTAGACAAAAAAGCAGAAAAGAGAGAAAGAAAAAAATTTTTAATGTTATTTTAGTGCTCTGAAATGTTAAGCAAAAAAAAAAAAAAATTTAAGCATTTTAAACACTTTTAGCACTTTTATGTTTTATTACAAAAAAATTTTTACCTATTTTTTAAAATACGACATTTTTCTTCCAGCATTACTCTATAATTAGTTAAAAAATTTGTAATTTATCATTTTGGAAAATTACCGTTAAATCACTGAATAATATGATTTCTCCAAATAACATAGTTCCTCGAGATAATATGCTTTCCTTTTTAATTTATAATGATTTATTAGAAATCACATAATAAATTAGAATTTCTTATAACACTTTCAGGCATTAATATTAATAAAATATAATTTCGACTTTTTTCTTTTATGCTAAAATTTCGATAGTAAAATTTAATGATTTGATAATCTATTTTAATTTATTCGAGAGAAAAAAAAACATTCTTATGAAAACTTTTAAGTTTTTTAAATTTGTAGAATTTTTTTTATACAATGTACGATCTATCATTGCTAGCTAAATATTTTTGACTAAGGAAAAGGAAGAATATGAAGATTGGACCCTAACATTTAATAAGTCATTTAACTAATCTTTTTCTACAGTGACTGCATTATTATCATATCAGTGAGAGAAAATTTTCCGATAAATTCATTAACATAATTAAATTATCTGATCATTGTATGTTATTTGTGTAATTAAAGTGAATTTTCAATTCATTTCCATTTCTTTTTTTTGAGGAACAGAAAAGGTATAAAAGCATTTGACCTAATCAAATCTTGAAATTATCAATTAAATTTTTTTTCTTTTTCTGAAAGGACTACTTTCGAAAATTTTTAGTCATGCTTTTTTTCATAAATTAAAAAAAAGAATTCCGAAACATGTTTCTTAATATATTTTTAAGTAACAATCAAACAAAAGCAAATTTCTTTCTCTTTGAATTACTTCTAATATTTTACATATCCATATTTTTTTCATCATTATTGCATTAAATGATATCAAATGGATTAAAAATTAATTTTAATAAATGGATAACAGGCATTTATTGAAGAAAAAGTCTCCAAAAAACTTAGTCATTAATTTTAATCAAAAATTTAGCAAAAACAAATTTCATTCTTATTTTCGATTTTTTAGGATAAACGAATTTACATATCAAATCAAAAATTACTAGCAAGCGGACAAAATCTAGTACCAACAACAACAACAACCACGGATTCATCGCTGGTAACCAATAATTCAACTCAAAAAGGTAATATAAAATTTGTTTGAAATTTTTTAAAATTAAAAACTGAATGATAAAACATTTACAAACCAATGCAATAATAATGAGTTTTCAATAAATAATAATTGAACAATTTTTGATTTTTCATTCAAGAAAAAAAATGATTTAATGAATTGAATTTACTTCATTTGCAGTTCATTGCAGCTTCCAATCGGTGCACTTTTTTTTCCTCTTTTTTAGGTTATCAAAATTTTGAGGAATTACTTTCAACTTACCTAATTTTTTCTCCAATTTTCGCAGTAAACTTTCAACCCGGTTATAGCAGCAACAGTCATCAGTTATAACTCATCGAAACCATTTCTAACGTTTCATAAAATTTTTAAATCTTTTTCTTTTTTTTTCAATTGAAATATTTTGTTGTAAAATTTTCGAAAACGTATGAGAATAAAAAAATTGTAAGTGACTGAGTGAAAGAATTATTATTTAATAAATGACTGATTCACTTTTTTGTGCAGATGCAATTTAAAAGTTTTGTACAGTAAAGCTAATTTTTATTAGCTAAATTTAGATTTTATTCAAATGAAGAGCAAATATTATAAAAAATATTATCCATTATTATAAAAATGTTATAAAAAAAAAAAACTTAATGGGAATCAATTTAAACTCTAGGAAATTCAAGATATTCACGTTTAATTACTAGTTTAATTAGCTTAATTAAGATTAGTTTTTATTTGGACTATTTTAGGAATGATAATAGTTTTCTTTGTTTAACTCATTACTTGCCTTAAGATTATTTTTTTTTTTTAAATTGAGATAATTAAATGACTAATCTCAAATAAAATCACTGGCCTAATTAATTAATCAAACAACAATTTCTATTCTATAATATAATTTAAAATTCAAATTGGATTAATTGCCAAACTTATTTATAACATCCTCTTGGTAATACGATGAAAATATGAAATGCATGATGAAAAAAAATAGCAAAATTATTTGAACTATAAAATGTCATCTAAATTGTGTCAACTTTTTTTTTCAGAAATCAATTCTCATCATCACAATCATTCTCATTTGCTCGATACCTTTAACAAGAAACCAGGTGGAATTGCTTGTCTATGTAAGTTTAACTAATATTCACATTTTAGTATAGATTTATGAAATTCTTTTTATACACTTTATCAGTTCTTATCAATCAAAACATTTTTATTATTTGAAAATAATATATTATATCAATTTATTTTTTAACTCTTTTAATATTTCATATCAATATAAATTCATATCTATATTCAAATATTGAATAAATATTACGAAGAAATAGAAAAGAAGTGATATTTAATAACTACTATATTAATTTTCTATTAACATTTTCATTAAATTTAAAAACAATTTCAAGTAAAAAGAAAGTGTTTTTTCTTTTTTACTTTTCTTTACTTTCATTGCAAGCAATTGAAATGTTATTGAATTATTCACTCTATTGATTACATCATCATAATTACACAAAGTCATAAGTTTAAAGTAAACAAAGTGAATTTGCTTTATTGAATGCTTAGATAAACAATATATCTAAGATAATTTTATTCGGATTATTTGAAATAAGCTTAAATATTGAAGATATTTTTGTCATTCCAGTTTAAAGTAAGCTTAAATATCTGCTACGATTTTATCAGATTACTTTAAGATTATCATTTAATTAAAAAAAAAATAAACCTAAATAGCTACGATAATTGTACAATAGTACTTTAAAATAGTTTTAAATATATGTGAGATTATTTTATCAAATAAGTTTGAATAAACTGAAATATCTGAGACAAATGTATTGTGTTAGTTTAAAATGGTTATTATTAAACTGATTTGAAATCAACCTACAAAAATTGATATTAAATATAGTGAACAAAGATCAAAGCATACTTTGGTTTCAAATCGCCTAAAACACTCTTTTCCTTTGTTTTTATTTTTTTGAAAATAATATTATGGCAGCTAATTAATTACAAATTATAAATATTATGGAATCAACAAAAAACTGTGCAATATTTTTGTAAAAAAACTTAAAGATCAAAAAAAATTTTTCTTTAGTGGCTGGAAATGCTTAAGTGTTCCTGAAGTAAAAATTTTAAAATAAACTAGTTTTAAAACTTTATTTGTCATCCTATCCAACCATCTATCACTTACAGTTTGTTACATATCTTTCTTCCGTTTCCTTTTCCTTTTTCCTTTTGCTTTTTTTTTTCTTTCATAACCAACCAAAAATTAAAATTTCAATAACTTTTTCTTTAGAGAATAAAATTAATTTACATATCTTAAATTTCAAATTGTAAATGCAAACGTTTAAATTATTATCATTAAAAAACAATGATAATAAAAGAAAAAAAAGAAGAAAGAAGGTTGACACTTTTTTTTTGATTATGTAATATATTTAGTTCATTTGAAGCTTCCGATCATGAATATGTCCTTTTTTTGATGCTATAACGATGAATGTGACATTGTATCGATTTAAGTTTCATGATAAAAATCATTGATATCACAAAATTCAATTGTCCCGATTTTCTTGCATCTCCGCTTCTCTTTTTTTTTTAAATTTCTTTAATTTCTTCTTTCTTTTTATTTTCTTTTCTTCATCTTTTTTTTTTTGCTTTTATTTTAGATGATTCAATCATGTGATTTTCAAAAAAAAAAAATATCAAAAAAAAGAAAAACAAAATAAAAACGAAGAATAAAAAAGAGGAGTGTGCAATTTTTTGATTTATAAAAAAAATATTTAGTTTATTTTTTTCAAGAGGAAAAAATCGGAAAATAAAATTTGAAATTAGGGAAAATGATTTAATCAGTTAAGATTTATTTTTTCTTAATATTTCTGTTTATGATTACAAATTTTGAATCATTTTCGTCTTCATTTTTTACTTATCTGCTGGAAATAAACATTACCAATTATTAATTAATTCAGTCTGAGTTTTTAAATGCTGATAATTTAAGATTAAAATTTGGTCAATCATTAAAATTTAATTAAGTTGTCAGATATTACAAATACAAGATTTTGTTTTTTGACATTTCTTTTGCTATTATTTTTCTTGCAAATAATAAAACTAAAGCTAATATTAATTCCATTTTTAGGTAATGTTGAAATCATTCATCTATAATTGTTTAAATTTTTGAGCAATGTTTAATGAATGTTTTATTACTAATTTCATTTACTGTATAATAATTAATTGTTTAATTTGATTTTCCAAATATACTGATAGTATTAATGCAGTTAATCTTTATAAATTTTTTCAAAAATTTGCTTAGTACTCCCAAGGTTGCATTCTTATTATTATTAATAATTCAGCTTATTAATATTAAATTACTCTTTAAATGCAAACAAATATTTTTCAAGTTCTTCCCTTGTTAAATTTTTAATTTGAATGTTAAATTTGCATTGAATTTAAATTATCACATATTTTACTTCTTCAGTTGTGATATATGTTATTTTGAAGTCCCTTGCACAATTTTCATTAATAATAAAGAGTAATTAATTCATTAATTGATCCAAATATATGAAGATTTTTGGAAAAATTACTTGCAATAACTTTTAGCACATTTTATTATTATCATCATTATTATTGTTAATTATTACTATTATCATCATTATTATTGTTAATTATTATTATTACCATCATTGTTATCAATTACTATTATTACTATCATTGTTACTACTGCTATTGTTGTTATTATTATTATCATTATATTAGTAATTATTATTTTTATTACTATTATCATTTATTATTAGTATTCTTATTGCTATTATTATTGTTATTCTTATTGTAATCGATTGAGTTTTAGTCTGACATTTGATCTTTCATTTATTCTGCATTCTAACATTCCTTCTTCTCTCTGCTATTTTCATTATCACATCCTCTAACTTAAACTTATCACTTATCTTTATTCGCAAACATTATTGAACAGCTGTTCATTTTATCGCTTAGTTTTAGTTTATATCATCAAGCATCATCTGTGGTTTTGCTCCATTTCTTGCAGTGGTCACTAATCAGTAAGCTTTTATCAGTACATTTATTCATATATCACCCTTCAAAAATATAAAACTTTAAAAAATTTAAAAAAAAATGCGATCAAAATTAAGTCATTAATGATTGGAAACTATTTTTGGATAAGTGTCAGGTCAAATTATCATATTTTGACATATTCAGTATTAAATTATTTTAATTAAAATTTGACACCAATTTTTATTTTTCTAACAAAGAAAATTATCTAAACTAAACTATAACCAAATTTTAATGCAATCAAAAAACAAATAAATTTTTGATTATTTGCTTACATATGTCAAGTATTTACTTATGTGCATTAAATGAATAAAGTGATTCAATAACAGCAATTCGTTATTGTCAAAATTTATTTGCATTTCTTTATTTGCATTTAAGTTCCTAAAAAAACATACAAAACAAATTGTATTTGTTTTGTATGTTTTTTTAGGAACTTAAAATAAAAGCAGAAATTTTGCTGTAATGAAAGATACGTAGTAGTAGTAGTAGCAGTTGTTGTTGTTGTTGTTATTTTTATTATTGTTGTGTTAGGATTGCCTTCAGCATATTTTACATTTCCAATTATTAATTTAAAAGTTATTTTATTGCTATTTTAATTGCTGCTGTTAGATTACCATTTTTTCAACAGTCATTTCTGATTATTATCATTATCTTGTATTACTACTTCATTAATCATATTATATCAGTATCAACTTTCACAATAAAGTAATTTCAGTCATACAACTTTCTACTTTGTTTCTTATTTATTTATTTATCTGTTTTCTTTTCAGTTTGTCTGAACCAGTATTTTAATTAATAGAATGGCTATACACAAAATTTAAATCTGATATTAATGAGAACTGTTTTGTTGAATTTTCCGAATTTAATATTTTAGTTGGCTAAGTTGAATTGCGTGAGACTGAAAAGAGTGATTTAGAATGTTAAGTTTGGAATAATTAATTGACAAAGCATATTAGGTAGAATTTAAAAAATTATTCCTTAACCTTAAGAAAAGCTGCAAATAGTAGATGTAAATATGATTGCATGTGATTTAATTTAAGGGCTCGAAAAACAAATCGAAAAAAGAAAAAACTTTTAGGAAACTTAAATAAATGAAAGTTCAAATAATTAATTGTACCATCATTTAAATATGATGAACAGATCGATTATCATGAAAGTTATACATACAGGAAAAATTGATTTAATTTCAAATGCATTATTAAATTTCTTGTTTATTTGCACCACAAATATATCATTAAGTTCAAATTCAATTCACTATACGAATTTATTTCTAATAGTAAGCAGTATTAACGGAAGTTGTAATAATTAATAAATAAGAATGAGGAATAGCATTGTGAAGATTTTATTACTGATAACAAAATTCAGCCATTATCGAACTTTCTTTCGCCCTCTCTCTCTTATTATTACTATGTCATTCTAATGTCCATCTCTTTTATCAAATTTTTTTTTTTTTTTTTGAAGTTTTACTTGACTTGAGCAAAGATGATATTTTTTTTTATTGTTATTCCTATATTATTTTGATTATTTCTAAATTTTTAATAATTGAACTTTGAAAGTTAATTAATTATATTTTATTCGAAGTTAAATTACTTGAAAAACAAGTTATATTGTTTATTACTTTGTACGATATGTGTGGGTATAAATGAGGAAGATTGCTAGTAATTTGAGTAACAAATCAATGAGACATAGACAGTTAGAACAAATAGTTAGGGTAGAAAAGTAACGCAAATAACTCAGGTAAATGAGACAGGTAACAGAACAGACCAATAAGACAAATGGTTGAATAGATGAATGGTACAAACAAATATCAAGTTGTTACTATGATAGACAGAATAAGTAAGCAAATCATTTAGGTGAATGAAGGTAATAGCATAGTAATGGGATAGACATAGCCGATAATGCAATACTAATTAATTCCAAAAAATTTTTCGTGAAAGTTTTGCAAGTTTTTTATAAGCAAAATAGAATTAAACAATAGATCAATAATTTCTCAAATTTTCGATTAATTTTAGTTTCAAAAAAGCACTGATAAATGTTCGAAATGAAAGAATTATAGTGTCATATGCATTAATGAATGAATCTATTCAATGACGTTGATATACGTGAAAGTTAAAAGTTAGACATTTTAAAAAAAAATTGTTAGATGCATCATCAGTCTTATTGATCCTTATTATTGTTTATTATTATTTTTATTTTATTACTATTGCTATTTCATTATTATTATCATAATTATTATTGTTTTATTATCACTACCACTATTAATACTAATAATAGTATAATAGTATTAGTATTATGGTAGTGATAATAAAACAATACTATTATTGTCATCACCATTATTCTTATTTTTGCTATCATTATCATCGTCATTATTGTTCATTACTTATTATTACTGTTATTGTCCCTATTAATGTAACAAAAGGAAAATGGTTATTTTCTAATAATTGATTCATATGATAACATAATTTATTAAAATAATAACTTTCAAATAGGTTTAAAGCTTGCACTTCTTTTTTAAATGAAAATTTCGTTTATTGAACATACATTAAGTTTGACTAGCATTTATGAAATGTAAGAATGATAAAAAAAAAGGTATTTTTTTTAAAGATGAATGTTTTTATTGAAACATTTTTTAAATTTCTTCAATTGGATTTTATTTTTAGAAATAATTTTATTTTTTACCAAAAAATTTTTTTTTCTTTTTAGGTTTAATCTTTTAGATAATTTTTGTCCGATGATTTGTTCAATAAATGCAATTTTTAAAAAAGAGTTGAAGCTTTTTACTCTGATGAAAATAAGTCGTAAATTGCAAACTTCAACAAACAAAAGTTAAACATCAGTTATATCAAATAGTGCTGATATTTTGATAAATGTTAGCTTGAAAGAATTGCCTTTCTTTTTATCATTCTTGCATTTCATAAATGTCAGATAAACTTAGTGTAACTGCAATAAGTTAAATTTTTCGTGTCAGAAAAATATGAACTTCAATCTTATATAAATATTACCATTTCAATAAAATAAGTTAACAAATGAATTAATTATTAAAAATTAACCAATTTCCCTCCGTATATTAATATTAATAAAATTAATATTAATAATAATAGATATTAATAATGATAATAATAACAATAAAATAAACAAATAATAAAAAATGATAATACATCTTTTCAGCATATCTACTTTTAAATTTAACATATGTCAACGTTATTTGATAAATTCATCCACTAATTTCATGTGACATTATGATGTCGGCTTTTTCGAGCATTTCTTAGTGCTCACTCATAAATATTATAAATTTTTGATAACATTTAAATAAAATAATTTTATCCAAATATTTTTTTCATTTAGAGGATTGTATTTATTTATTAAAAAATTTAGCAAGTTTTATTTTAAAAAAAATTTATGGATTTATGCTTGGAAACTTGCAATGTTTTGCATAATTCAGTAGGAATTATGCAAAACATGGCAAGTTTGATGAAAATAAATAAACAGAAGTAAATAAAGAATAATAAACATTCAAGTAATATATAAATATAAATAATAAAGCTTTTATTAACAGAAAACCAATATTAATGATATATTTTAAATTCCATTTATTGAATTCATAATAGTTCAAACATTACAATCCTTATTTTATGTTATATAAAGACTTTATCAATATTTTATGATAGATATAGAATGATCTGAAATTACATTCATTATAAATCTTCTCATGATATTCTCCAGTCATATCATGATACTATCCTATATTATCGCATTTAGATCATATTTGTAAATTTTAGATTGATATCTCATTCAAATTAAGTTTAATTATCAGCCTGTATACTTTTAATGTAAAAAAAAAAAAAAAAAAAAAGAAAATTATAAGTCCCAATCCAAAAAAAAAAAGTTGAACACCGAAACTACCAGTGAATATTTTTTTAAATTGAAACAACTGTTTATCTTGCCAATAAAAATCATCTGCCGCTCTTTCTTTTTCCATAAGTTAAAAATAAAATTGGAATCAAATTTTCACTGAGAAAAACTGAAGTTGAAATAGCAGTGGATAGCATAAAAAATGATTTCTATTTCTTTAACTTTTACTAAATTATCAGTTAGAATTAAATTATTACTTACTTAAACACACACTCTCTCTCTTTCTCTCTCTCTCTATTTCCTTAATTTTTTTTCCCTTTTTTACAGACAACGATAAAATGTCGAAGGTTAATGTTTTCAAGCAGATGGATCAGATGCACCGATCAAGGTTTATGCTTTTAAAATATTTTCCTCCTTGTTTTTTTTTTTTTAAATTTTTGGAAAGCAAAATTTTATATTGATTAACATACATTTAGTTATGATAATAATTTAGTATTGGATTTATCACAATCTATAAATGGATCTTTTATGAACTTTTGCTATTAACTGATAATAGTTTTAATTATTTATCCAGTTTCGGTGTAATTAGTTACCCAGTTCCGGTATATCAATAAAAAGTCTTTCTATAACAACAAACTTTAAATTACTACAATGAATATTTAAGGAGTATTTCACATAAATGAAGTTATCAGAAAATTGCATATAAATATAAAATAGAAGTTACCGATTTATTAATTACTGCACTGCTAATAATGACGGTGATAACGATGATAGTAGTAATAATAATGATTTAGGATGACAGACTAATAAAATATTAAAATGTTTTATTGGTGAATTTAATCAATCTATAATCATGCTATTTTCTGTTGTTTTCAAAAATAAGCATAAAATATCGTGAAATATCATTTATTCATTATCTCTTATCACATATCATCCTTGCTGACATGCGTTATCACTCTGATGGAACCCAATTGCTCTATCAAACATTTCTTCAGCACTTAGCGATTTATTTGTGGTAATATGTGGCAGTGATGATAATTTTATTTTTTTAAACTTTTTTAAAATTGCTTAATAATTAATATTAATCATAATGAATGATTTGTAAATAAAAAATAAGCATTTAAATTGATCAAGTACTCCAGCGGTCTTAAAAAGTTAATTTTTTAAAATTTCAGTCAGCAGCAAACTGCGCGGCCATTCAATCCATCAACAGTAAAAAATGCGCTTTTACGATGGTGTCAAATTAAATTGGAAAATTATCCTGTAAGTACCTTTGACAAATTCCGCACAATTTTAAATATGGAAAATTTGCGGGAATTTTTTGCAACTAAAAATTTATACTTCAACATGTTAATATTTAAAGTCATGCAAATATTATTTTTTTAATTACAGTATTAGCCAATTTTGCATATCTCATAGCTTACTCATTTAACTGCAATTGTAATAAATAAGTAATAACTGAATTTTGTCATGAACAATTAATTTCGCCTAGTTGATCAATCAATTTCAATAATTAATTACAATAAAAAAGATGAAAGGAACAAGCTTTTGAGGTTCAAATTACAAATTTTTCATCATGTTGGGCTGATGGAATGGCATTTTGCGCATTGATACATCGATTTGTGCCTGATTCGTTTGATTTTGATAAATTAAATCCAAGAAATCGACGAGAAAATTTAGAGTTAGCATTTAGGGTAGCCGAGTAAGTTTGTTTTCCCTTTTTCCTTTTTTTTTGTAATTTTTTTTACTAAACTATTTATTTCGTTTGAAGTTCACATTTATTCTTTTATATAAATTTAATTTATTTTAAGCAGATAATCGCATGAAGCAATAATCAATGCAAATATATTGCAATGAAAATCAATCAAAAATATAAATGCAAACATTTTTATACAATGTTTTTTTTTTTTTTGCAAAATTCCTAAATTTTATAATGAATTGTTTCCAAAAGATTTCAGAACATAATATTTCATAAATTTTCAAATTTATATCACAGAGAAATTAAAAAAAAATGATACACAACTTATGAAATTATTACAGACAAAATGGTATTGTACCATTGCTTGAAGTGGATGATATGTTGCTAATGGGTGATCGACCTGACTGGAAATGTATTTTCACCTATGTTCAGTCATTTTACAAAGCATTCAAAGACCAATTGTGAAATTACAGTGATAATTTTTGGCATTATTAAATTTCGAAAAGGCAAAATATCATTTTTGAAGGCAAAAGAAATTGAGTATGGATATAGTTTTGTAATAATCTCAGTAATTAAATGAATAGTTAAATAAATAACCAATCTAGAAATTTGAAATATTTGGCCCATGTTTAATTTTTAAACTTTAATTAGAATATTTTCAGTAAAAAATTTTTTTATTCTGATTTGCATACTATAAATGACTGTTATTTAATATTATTTTATATTTTAGAGTTGTTTTTTTCTTTATTTCATTTGTTCTTCCATTTTTTTTTTCAAAAATTTTCTTTCAAATTTTTTTGAATAATTGCATCTAAAATTTTGGAGAAAAAGAAATTTTGAAAATGAATTATTATAAAATACGGTAAGGTACCGTACTCATATCATGAAATGTACTATTTCTGATAAAACTACTGTACGTCTTTGTTGAATGTCACAGGAATCATGTTGTTGCATGTATTTGATTATTATTGTAAAATTTTATAAAAAAAATTAAAAATTTTCAATATTTCATTAGTCAACATTTTGCTAAATTGTTAATAAAAAGACTAGCTAGAAAGCTGTCGAATACAATTTTATTATTATTAACTTCTTACTAGAATTTTTTAGTTTTTTAAGTTTAAATTTTATTAATTCGGAAGGACAATCAGAGATTGATTACTTTTACTATTTTTTTTTCTTGTTTTACTTCGATTACTGCTTATTTTTAAAAATTTTCAAATGTTTTCATTATATATATATATATATATATATATATATATATTTAATAAAATGTATTTTTTACTTGAAGGTAATCAGCTACTTATTTGTTGTATTATATAAATTAAATATTATTAAATTACTGTAACCGTAGAATGAAGTGAAAAATTTTTGACAATTTTTATGAAGATCTAATTTTTTTAAATACAGATAAAAGTGAGTAATATTTTGTGAAAGCTTCAACTATCATTCAAATTTAGCGATATAAATTACGCTATAACCAAGAAGTGACGTAATAAATTGCGCTACCACTGAAAACGACATTAGGTAATTCAACTGATAACTATTACCAATTGATAAATTCATATTCAAATGATGTCATGAAATGATATCATAGGTACCGGTGTAATTAACACAGATATTTACTGGAACAAACAAATATGATCACAAAAATTAACGTTGTAATAGTGTTCTCGTACGTTAATACTACTTCACTACGCAGATGCGTGAATTACAGGAAGGCTAACGTTTCGTATTCATCGTTAGTTATAGCTACTACAAATCGTGATTTCATTATGAAATTAGCACTATGCGAAAAATTTGAGCAAAGTTACAGAAAAGAATAATAATTAAATTCCTTTGCTTACATTCTATCCATTTTTTAGAAAATTGTTCTACGGCAATTCTTTTTTAAGTTTGCATCCCCTTTAAAAAAAATTAAAAAGAACCTTTATTAAAGTTGCATTTAAGACTGGCAGCTTATATTAATTAATTAATTAATTCTCTTAGAAATGGCGAGTATCTACAGAAGTACATATTAATAATAATAAATACTTCATCATAAAAACAGTCATTTAAAAATCGCTCCTTGCGAAAGTAATCTTTTTTAGTAATAAATAATATTTAACTTTAGTGTTAGATTCAGAACTATAATTACAGATAACGAATGTTTTTTTTACATTTGTTGTATAATTACATGCACTATTGATATGATAAGTGATTTTTAAAATGGCTTATTGTTATTTCAAAAAGATAAGCTTAAGTAATGTTAATATCATTATCACAGAAATTTGAATAATGATCACAACAAACAGAAACAAATGAATAAATAAATTCAAATTATTTAATTTGTAATTAAAAATTAGCCAACAAATACTACGCTAAGATAGCGTAATTGTTTCCTGACCATTTAAAGGAGTTTTAAAATTTCTTTATGAAAAGTTTTAAATATAATTTCGTTTTAAATTAAACTGTAGTTTTCTAAATTTTTTATTTCTTTGTTTTTATTTATTCTTTGTTATCTGACCCAATTTCCTGTTTAATTCCGATAAAACAGAGATTTTTTCAATTTTTTCTGCATAATAAAGTAAATTTTTGAAAAAAAAAAAAATGGCGTAAATATATAAACATGAATATTTTGCAAGTAGCCATTCATTAAAAAAATTATTTAGAATAAATAATATTTAATAAGCTAATAAATATTGAAATATTCTTCATCACTTTGTTGACTTTTTTCTTTTCTTCACCACTCACTGCTTCTTAAAATAAACTTTCCCTTGACAATTACGCTTTAATCTTATAACTGGTCTGCCATCATTTATGAGTGTTCTAAAAATGAAGAAGACAAAACGAAAAAAGTGGAAAATGATCCTTCAAATGTGAATTAAATTAATCCCATGTTGATCATTTCTTCTTTAACATTATTTTGTCGGCTTCTCTTTTTGTCAAAATTTTCGCTTTATATAAAAAACAACAAAATATGCACCTTCAAATCATTCTTGTCTTTTTTTTTTGATTTCATATTTCTCATTTTGCCTTTTTTTTTCTTTTTTCTGAAATAGACTGAAAATTATTGAAGAATGTAGAAAAAAAAAAAAGACATTTGTTTATTGATACTTTTATATATTTCTCAAATTTTCTCATTATTTCCACTACTTATTTTTTTCAAAAGTTCGAAAAGTTCAATAGTTTCATCTATATTTTTGGAGAAAAAAGTATTCGAATCTGCTATTTTTCAAAAGTTTTGCTTTAATTTTGTTATCAATTCAATTGAACTTTTTTTATCAAATCATATTCAATTTTTTTTTAATTTACTTCTTTACTTTACAATTAATTAATTGATTCATTGTTATCCTTTCTCGGTGAGATTAAGAAAGGATCTATAATTACGATAGGATTAGTGGATAATTTATTTAAATAAATAAAGTTGCTACTGTAACTTAGCTATTTTTGAATTTAATAGAAGTATACTGCAATATTTACATTGTACAAACACGATAATATTGTGGATTAGCAAAATATATGCTTGAGAGTTTCACTCAATCCAGCACTGGAAATTATAGCTTGTTAGAATTGTTAAGATAAGCAATTTAAAATATCGAAAACCGAACTAAGAAAGAATTTTCGCTTCAAAAAAAAATTTGTTTGTTCGCATCCGAAAATCTAATAATAATAATAATAATAATAATAATAATAATAATAATAATAATAATAATAATAATAATAATAATAATAATAATAATAATAATAATAACAATAATAATAATAATGACAACAATAATAGTAATAATAATAGTGATAATAACAGCAATAATAATCGTAATTTTGATAATCAGTTAAATCATACAGTGATGATATTAGCATACTATTTCAATGACAACTGCACTCATAGCGTAACAAACGTGTATGCATTTGTTTTGAAAGGATGTGTCATCAATAATTTTTGCAAATTTGATTGTTTTCAAGAAAATTGTGAAAAATAAATTGCCATAATCAATCACTGAGCATTTTGTAACCATTAGTGAATGGTAGATGATTTCGTGTAACGGTGAAATATATTTTTACCAAAATAATTCGAAACTGATTTACCAATATTCATTTTAATGCTTGCTGATTATCATGATGATAATGATGATAAGGTGTAATCTCAAGGATGCTGAAAGGATGATGAAGTAAAATTTCATGAATGCCGGAGAAATTCTATTATTTGAAATAATCGATCACGGCCTATTACAATTTAGTTGATGAACAAATGTCATGAGTTAAGAAACTTTTGATTTTTGGTTTCAAAGATTTATTATTATTATTATTATTATTATTATTATTATTATTATTATTATTATTATTATTATTATTATTATTATTATTATTACTGCTTTATTACCTTTTATTATATTATTATTGATATTCTTATTGTTATTGTCATTATTATCATTTATTATTACTATTATTATTTATTACTACTATTATTATATATAATATTATTACCTATTCTGGCTTAATCTGTTCGTTATAATGGACCATTTTCTTGTAATATCTGTTCCTGATAATATGTATTTAATAATTTTGTACTTAATCATTTTGAAACTAATTTCGCCAAATGATTATCATTTAATAGCAAACTTTAGAACATTAGCGTATTGCAGAAATTAAAATTTTTAGAATTCTTATGCTATCGTAAAATAAACAATAATTAGAAATTTTAATCAAGCATTTTATTCAAATTTGCGATTAAAATAATTCATTGATTGGCAATCAATCCTATTATATCTTCAGTAAAGGTCATGAAAACTTAATGTAAAAGCAAAAAAAAATCTTAAGAAAAAGTGATTTTAAAAGCAAAAAAAAAAAAGATTTATTGTCAACGACTGATTCGAGTGTCACCATATATTTTCATTTTCCCGTCATTCCTCGATTCTTCTAGTTTCATTTAACTAACTTAATAAATAATCTAAATTGAAAACAATCAAAAATCAAAAAAACTGACGAGTTTTTTTTATCAAAATTAATTTCAAAACTTCGCAATATTTGTACTTTAAAATAGGATTATGAGTTTTTCCCTTCAGAATACTCCTAAAAATAATCATTAATGATAGGTTGTCATATCTCACATATCACTTTTCGTCGAAATAACTCTTTAAAAAGATAACTCATTTTATAAAACATACAAAACATATTGCCAGTATATAAAAATTATAAGAATAAATAAATAAGTGTTAATAAACTGATAAATGGATGATAGCAGTGAATAGACAATGTTTAATGAAATTTATATGTTAAATATATTAAAAAACTTTTATAAATAATTAAAAAACGTTAACAATATCTTTTCTGTAATAAGTTTATTTACGTAAACGATCTTTTTCAGTAGCATTGAAAAAGCCTTAAATAACAAAGCTTTTGGTATTAAAGTCAAAAATTGAATATCATTAAAATAATTCGAACTATTGTTAATTTAATTTTGAATAGGAATTTTATGCTCGTAAAAT